TACGGTGATCTATTCCATGGAGATAAACGCTATGTCCGCGGCTACATCTGATAAAAGAAATAAAATCAAAGTGAAAATATTTCACAACAAAATGCAAATATGGATCGGTACCGTATATATTATTTTTTGATAGAGATTTCAATGAGTAAAACTTGAATTTGATTAAATCTCGAGGGGTAGGGTTTAAACTTTGATTACAGTGTTAATTTTGCATATTATAGATCGTATGCTATGCAAATAAAATTACATTTTGAAGCACCCTGATTGAAATATTTTAATTACAGCATTCGCCACAGAAAAGATGTTATGCTTCGCTTACTTACATATACTTTTTAAAATCAGGCACGGTCGGCGTATTTTGTAATTACAGGTAAACCACTTTGTATGCTGCATTACACTTTCAAAGACACTATTCCCCCTTATATTACATTACATTTAAAAGTGATCCATACTCCCATAGTGACTACCATAACTTAAATTAGAACAAATTAAATGTTTTGTTATGAAATATACGACTATTTTTGTGAATTAGGAAGACTACCTCAAATGATGGAAGATCATCAGAAGGCATTTGTTACGCATTGTAATTTCAGAGATTGTTCATTTCATAAAAATATAAGGCTAGAGCTTGCTTGTTTATTTAAATTTCAGAATACATTAGTATAAAAAACAAATCTTTACCGGTTTTCTCGTACCTATATACTCGTAAGATTCCGCATCATACCACAACTTTTTCATTCCTACTCTGCGACCACAGTCTCTCTTTTAAATGGCATAATAGGACCCGGACAGCTCGTTATAGGAAGGCCTTCATAAGAACATTTCAGGTGAGTTCATTAAGGTCAATTTATTGTCCAATATCCTTAAATTTCACATTCGCACCTCTTTCACAATATATTGCCAAATATTGGCTTAGAAAGTACCTCCCCGATGGGACTGTAATTTGATATCGTCTGGCTTACATACATACAGTAACCTCACAGAGACAAACTTTGCTTTATTGCAGCTGCTTTGTAGTACATCATTCTGAAGCGCTTAATTTCACTGTATACTGAACAAAAGTATACGACTAACACGAGGTAGAGGTTTTGGAAGGGTTATAATCAATCCAATCAAGTTGAGAATTTGGCAAAGAGAAATTCTTAGCGTAACTTCGTAGACCGTGGAGTAAAAAGAGAATTTGCGAATAATAAAGGCTGAACTTTGAATAAACAACGTTGTAATCAAGTTCGCTTGGAAAGATGGCTGTGGTTCCTAACTAAAAAAATCTATTATGCCTTATTTGCGCACGGTAGACATCAAATTCTCGTGTAAGAGTACATCCCAGCAATAAGATTATACGTCCCAATACCTTAGGGGTGTTCATATAAGACAAAGGAGAATTACGTCTCTCTTAAGGCTTAAGGCTAAGTAAAATTGTTTGATGTCAAACCCGACAGATTTATTAACTCGCTTTATAAACGCCTTCAATGACAAACAAGACATTCATTCACCTTAAGCTTACAAACTAAATCAATGTCAAATACGCTCACCAGAGCTGCGGGATTTCTTTGTATGATAATATGAAATTAAAGTCGAGGTAAAGGCAGCAGCAAAGCTGGACTTTCAAAATCAAACAACGCGTGCAACGGTATTTTTTCTCCGGTTAGGTACCTACGATAACGTATGGCTACTCATAGATCATCGAACAAGCACATTGAATATAGGTAATGTATAAATGCCAAAGGGACGTAATCATCTAAACAAGCAGTAAAACAATTAGCAATAAATATTTACGAGCTTCAGCAAAACCTCCTATATCTATAGAGGCGAGCAAATTCACGAAAAAAGGTAAATATAACAATTGGCCATTTTGTGACACGTACATTCCAATACGAACCACGGATGTTAATTCGTAATTTTGATCAAAATTGCAAAACACGTCCATTTAGATAGTTAGGGAGTAGTTTAATGTCTGCTTGATTGTTAACTTTTGTTTTACTATTTACTCCAGCACCCCCACTACTTTACAATTAAATGCACCATCGAGTGTCACATCATTTTAAAGGCTATACAATTCTCTTTACAGAAATACCCACAAAACCATATTTGGATAGCTAATCTTGTTTTGTGGTCGATAAAATTGAAACCCCCACTTTATACAATTCAAATAAAAATAAGCCTAGGACTAATTAAAGACTAATTTGTACCAACAGCCGGAAAACCGATTTTTAAAGTGGGAGTGTTAACTTGAAATCAAGTTGGCCTGACCAGAATAATAATAATACAAAGATCTAATGCAATATATTGTAACGTACATTTAATTATGAACTTTTATTCCTTCCATGTTGAAATTGAAACTGAACCCAAACACGCTCCAATTCCCTTAGTAGTGAAACATTTCTTTAACGGTTTTGAAACGTTTGGAAAGGTCTAGAACGCGGATTATATTTCACGGAAGGAATGCACCGCCTACCCATTCCTTATAGTCCCACGCCTATGATTAATCTTTCATGGCGCCTTGATGTCTATCCGGATTTCTGGAATCTTGGCTAAAATATGAAGCACTTGGATGTTATTGCTATAAGTATATTTGTTGTTGATGTTTTTAATGATAATTTTATTTAAGGTATTGTTAATATTATCTGTATATTTATAAATGGGTAGAAATTAGTCTTTAATTCATATTTTTGCTGCAAATATGAAATTTTTCAATCGGAAAAATCGGTTTGTCGGGGGAACTAAGCGGGTAAAAACTATTCCTTAATTAGTCCTAAATTGTATTCATATTTTTATTTGATTTGGGCCAAGTGGGAGTACCAACTTTACCGTCCTCTCAAAACAGGTGTTATGGTCCAGAGCCGGATCTTCCACTTACAGTTGCAACTATAAACAACTTAGTAACTCAAGACACCTAAACCCAACCCATAACACTAGGTGGAACATGATATTAGATTGTCGCCACGCGATAGAAGCCTTCAAGGACCACATCGTAGCCTGGAGCGTTTTTGCACAGTGCTATCAAGAGAGAACCTAAGGTTACTTGTGCGCATACTTTCTGAGTATACTTTCTTGGCACTGCATCTAAACAAATGGACCGCAGATAGTACAAATGGTCCGAATTTTCGGTCTAGGTACACGTGGACCCTGTCCACCCTCCTATCGTAATCCAGAATCCAATTCACTCCTTAACGTCGATGGACCGGAGGGTGGAAAACTTAATCACAATTAAAAAATGAAAATCTACGTTATTTTCCTAAAATATTGTTACAAAGGCCAATATTATAAAATACAGTTAGGAACCTACTATTATTTGAAATCAATTGACACAATTACAACGACAGATACATTGCAGGAAATATAATGGAAGTTACACTATTAGAGGAACCTAAATCTTCATTTGTGCAATGGTGTGTTTAAATCTAAATCACACAACCGTAAATTCAATTCTCAATTAAATATTTGTGAGCACTTTGTAATTTACGTACTTTGAAACCTACTGTACCTAATAAGAAACAAATCTGTAATTTCCCGCAACTCAAATGAATGTTTAAACTTTTGAAATCTAATTACAACTTTTTAACTTTAATTATACATTGAGAGTAGTTAAGTTAAGTTCGTGTATAATGGCACACCTCTTACCCTATACAACTTTTTGAGAAAGGAATAAAATAATAAATAGTAGCCCTTTGTCAATCGTATCCAGTGGTGGGGTTAACGTTCAGTGTAGGGCTAATAAAGTTTGCCAGCATTTGCAATACAACCGTGAAGTCCAAATTAACTATCGATTCCGATTCTTTATAATTGAATGAATAAAATAAATGTAGTCTGTGAAGAACTCAACCCCCACAGTGAAATGCGAACTTTTATAAAGGTGTACATAAATTGTACGACGGTATATTAGCGTCAAACTAAAAGAATGTACACTTGAGAATTCCGAGAAATAATTTTAGAATTCTCGAATGGAACCCAATTTTTTACACTTTCCGAAGAACATACGAATATTTGAACACTCCTAAAACACTACCTTCTAAAATTTTTTCATCTTTTTCCCTGAAACTATGCTTCTTACAATTTTGTGTATAATTCTCCCAGAAACCCACTCTGTAGCTGCCTGAAGTGTCACGAGAGTCTCGGTCATTTTCGAAAAGTTAGCTTTCTGAAAAGTTTCTGAAGATTTTAAGGCGAGCTTTCAAGTTTCGGAATCAACCGAAAGCCTCATGACTTCGATTCGAAGATTTTGTTCTCAAGATCCTGCGATTTTCTCTCATAATTTTTTCTCTATTTCACAAAGGTAATAAAGGACCTCAAAATAATGCGCGTTTAGTTTCAGGGGTACGCCAGTTGCGTCCTTGTTTACCCACTTGCTAACCAAAAAAGGTTCCGATAGAATACGCCGCCTTTCAAAATCTGCCTCAAATTTTTCGATACTGACATTTTTCTTAAACTTTTACGTAATTCTTGCCCAAGGAATTCCACACAGAATTTCTCTCTGAGTTGCAGTATTGTTAATATATGTTCTGCAATTTTCTGGTTTAGAGCCTGTGCTACTTTTTCCAGCAATTTTCTTGCAATTTAGCTTTTTTAGCGCATTTTTTTTTAATTAAACGAGTATATTATTCCTATAACTTCAAAGTGTCAATTTATACGCCGGTATGGTAATTTTTTAGAACTGGATAAACATTGTTATGCAACATTATTGGAAAAATACTGAGTATAAGTATACGACTATTTCAAACAAAAACATCGTTAGTTAACGTGAAAGATTCAATTTTTTTTGCGCCCATTCCTTTCAAATTGCTTTCTCTGAAAGTTACACAAACGTAGCTTTGAATGATACTTTTATCTTCTTTTAGGTTTATTTAAGTAGTTTTATGTGTTGTTTACGGTACTTGAAAAGTGCTGTTACAACGTACAAACACTTCATTCCTTTACATCTTCTGACATTTATGATCATTAAAATCATACACCGTACCTGAAATGGAGTTTCTTATTTCTAATACTGATCATTTTTGTTACAGCGCCAAAGAATCACGTAATAATTTTGGACTTTAGAGAATACTTCGATTTAGAATATAGCCAAGAGTGTAAAAATGACTTTTTAGAAGTACGTGATGGACCACACGGTTATAATGATTTATTATACGGACCATTCTGTGGAACGACTTTTCCGCCTGAAATTACCTCTACGGATAGATATCTTTGGATATTCTTTCGATCAGATGAAAATATCGAAGCGAAGGGCTTTAGAGCTGTTTTTAGATATCAACTGAGAGATAGTAGTCGTAAGTAGTTCCATCAGGAAGTCATCTTTATATTTATAAGATTTTGTATTTTCCAGTCAAGACGCCCGAGTTGAGAGAGTGCCGAATCGATCGGGTGGGTTTAGAAGAGGGAATTATTAGCAACGCCGATATTCCCACCGATGTTAAGGATTACATTACCGAACACAGTATGCCCGTTGACTGTCTTTGGGCGATAACCGTGGAATCAACAAAAATGGCAAGTAATTACATATTCGATTAACATGGTGATTATTTCGTTTTGTCTATTTTAGGTGCAGATCGCGTTCACTGACTTTCAGCTATCGAAACCTAACGACTGTGAAAATAATTTCATCGACGTCTTCAGCAATCGAACCGATTTGCCTTCCAGATTAAATAATTTCTGCGGTTCCGTTGCAGACATCGTGTCGTCAAAGAGTCACATTATGTTTATTAGATTTTTTGCTCGGCCGAAAGCGTACGATTCGTCTTTTAAAGCATTATTCACAGCGTACAGAGATGTCGATAAAGTCTCTCAAAGTAAGTCTAATATTCAAAGTAGATTTCAAGATTACATTTCTCGCTTGTTTCAGAATGTTTAGCGGATGAATTTGATTGCGACGACGCTACTTGTATAGCCAAGGAATTGGAGTGCAACGACCAGAAGAATTGTCGCTCACAATGGGATGAAGAAAACTGTCACGTAAGTTTATTTAGTTTTAGTATTGTTCCAGTTTAGAACCACGCTCGGGCATTTTTTTCTAAAAACTTCTCGGAAAAGTGAAAACTTCTGAAAGTTCGTCTTTTCGTTACTGATATCTAGTGTCGTTTATGGTTTGAAATTACGGAGCCATAAAACATTTAAAATGAGGCTCAGTCCGTCCGAGGCCGCAACAGTTTTCAATATATTTAGGTCGTTCTTTTTGAATTCGGTAGCTTATGGCTCTGACACCTGAGCCAAAAAAAATCTTGTCGATTGATGTGCGCAAGCCAAGTTTATAGACATTTCTTTGAAATTGTAACCATAGATGCTTTTAGTAAAGATAAACTTAGCGCATATTTATAGTAAAAATTAAATGTGCAAACTGCGCACTGCCATCCTCCTCCTATATTTTTTAAAATTAACCACCAGGTGGTAAAGGCAAACATATCGCGTAATGTAACAATCAGATGTACGCATGCGCAAATTGCGCAACGCCAACTTTCTTATTTATGGAAACATAAATGTTGACACTACATCAGAAAAAGTTGAATTACTCGCAAAGTTTGAAATTAGCAGCACAAATTAGCACGAAGTATGAGCACAACATTATGAAATACTGGGAACTTAATTCCTTTCAAATCGACACTACAACTTCACGGACCGTAATTGATTTTCCTAAGTGTGGTGAGAAAATCTTCAAGTGTGCTGCAAACAATATTGCCTTTCTGAATCTTCTTACAGTAGGGACCAAACCGACGTCCAATCTCTAAAAATGAAAAAGGTAATGTAGAAAAACTAATGTTTTGTTGTAACCACTGTATTGATAAAAACGGTGCCTGGGTGATTAAGCTGTACGTCAATATACTAACAAAGCTCCTAATAGAAAAAATGATTAGATAATTTGAACTTTAAAGTCCACAACTTGTATTCGAATTTCCGTAGTGGCGTAACTTGAAATTGTTTGGCTCCTGTGCCAACAATCCTTGGTCATTTACGAGTATCGTTATCACAGATGGATGCTTTGACACCTAACATACCGGGTGATTCATTAGAAGTGATGATCGCTTGAATTTCGCGCGTAAGGTTTTAGTATTTTTTGCATTGTTAGATTGACGGTTTGAATTTCGTTAGTAATTTTGTTCTGTCATGACTGTCATTTAAGAAACCAGTGTCGCCGTTAATTGTTGTGTGCCATTTGTGGTTTATTACTTTTTCCATTTTGAACAATTTTTGGAGTTGATGCACTAAAATATGTAAGAAACGTGACTGTGTCTGGTGTTAGTTTATAATTTGTGGTAAAACAGAAGCAGTATTTGAAGATTATAAATAAGTAAACGATTTACTGAAAGCAATTAAATAAATGATCATCAGTTCGTACCAACTTCAGAATTTTTTTGATTTGCGGGAAAGTCAAATTGTCCTCACTTCTAATGAATCACCCGGTATAACTTTTTTGGACATAATTTATGACGCATGAATATAAAATTTATCGCAAAGTTCTAGTTGTTCATGAAGAGTGCTTGGGGGTAAATATAAGGTATAAAAGTCTCAAATGTAACATTTTGGGCTATAAGTCGAACTATTGGGGGCTAACGTGTTGTTTTCAACTATTTCAGTTTCGTGATCGAATTGGATGGATACAACTCACTTTTAGTTTAATTTTATAAAATGAACAGGAAAGGGGGAGTATTGCTGTATTGCTGGATTGAGTTCAACTTGACGTTAATGATTTGTTCCCGTTCATATTTTACCAGTAATTAAAAAATAGAAAGTATAAGTGGCATGAAAACTAGCATAAGACGAAGAACCGATGTTTTCAGACAATAGAAACTTGATTATCGTATTTTCGTATAAAACAAAGTAGAAAACCGTAGTGTTTTAATTAATTCCAAATAAGGGAAGTAAGAAGGCAAGTATCAAATTTTGCGCATTCGTGCAAATAACGATACGCATTTTTCTTGTATAAATTCGTCGTCTTCCGAGCCCGCTTCCTTTGCTATGCGATCCGAAAAGTCTTTAATAGGTGTATACTTCATAAAACTGAAGAAGTACTCTTTGAATAGCGAAGACGCAAAGCCTTGAATCCAATATTACCTTTCTCATTACCGCTAACGAAATCAAAACTTCTTGCAGGGCTATTTTCGTGTACAATGCAGACGCTCTCAACCCTAACAGAAGATCCTGTCAACCTTTAATATTAGTTGGTATCCAATTTTACCTCCAGCGCGTACTTCTTACTCAATCTGCATTTCAATCGACAGCTGCCTTTCGGAATTAATCAAAGTTTCGAGTGATATCGTTCGTCCTGTTACCTATCCAATGAAAAATTTTTGAAAATAAAACGCATAAAGCGCCGTTTGTATTCCAACAGCAGAAACCTAAGCAAAAGGCAAGGATGTTTTGTTTTCTGCAATATTATTTGGCAAGGATTTTTGTGCCAACATATCTTTACGAAACGAATATCCCATCTTTCCCATTTTCTAAACGTAAAATTGTAATTGTAATCAGAGTGGAAATTATCGGGAGCAGCTGTGGGCAATATTTATGCGATAAATTCTGACTAATTAAATCTCCAAACCTAATCAAGCACTTGTACAACTTTATTAACTCTGTCAATACTTAATCGCCTACCGACGTTAAATGAACTATTTCAATATCTGAATAATGTAGCCGAGTCGGTGCGCTTTTCCTACTACAGTTTGTGATAATAACCAAGGTTTAATTGTGGCACTATTGTATACACATTTGAACGTGTTCGTAGCACAAGGTAGGTGGATGCAGAAGCATTTCGAAACGGAAACTTTGTATAAACAAAGACTTCTCAACCCTTCTCAGTTTCAGTATCCTAATTTATAAATCATCACGCTTACCTAATTAAACTCATTGATTATTAAAGGAACAACCGTTTTAGCATCATAATGTAATGGCCACCATTCAAAATTTGTACGTTAAGCCACAGTCACAGAATATGCTTCGCCTGATAAATTAGACTACTCGTTGTATGTGAATTTTGAAAGATGGTTGCCGATTTGAATTGGAAACAAACCTGGCTTCAGGTTTTTCGAAATTTAGAGTTGAAATCTTGTTTACTCACTGGAATAATGAACCAATGTTCCGCAGTAGGGAAATGTCAATTTTCCTCTTTGTATACTTAGGACAGCCATTAAAATCGTCTTGAAACTTTTCACCGGTTTCTGTTTAATCCAGAATCTTACTATCGCCCCGTATAAAACAGAGAGGTGCACAAATTGGGTTTTTTATCGTATAACCATTGAATAATATATTATTCAATGGTATAACTAACCACTCCAAGTATAAACGCAATGACACGTTCTGCACTTTCGATCACAACGCTTTTGTGGTAAAAATTAATTTAAACGTAGTTACGATGATCAAAAAATGCAACAATACTTTCCACGAATTGGCGGTAGGTACCATTTTTCCTTGTAATTCGGCAATTAACTTCAGCTTGCGCAATACAAATATCACGTCGATTACGCAGCCGTTAAACTTCGTAGCTTGCGCAATACAAATATCACGTCGATTACGCAGCCGTCCTTCGAAAATTTGCAGTTGGGTTCACCTGTAAGGTTCGATGAAGAGTCTCTGTTTTCCACCGAATTTTTACTAATGTAGTAGCCGCATCAAAAAACCGAAACGACGCAAACCAAGCTTGATTGAGTCACGTTTTTAGCGCATTTCCACAAAAATAAAAAAAAAATGCGCTATTGTGGCCACTTTGTCCGTCCGTCCGTCCGCTCGTTTTGCGACGCTACTAGTTCTTTATCTTAAGAGCTATGTTCTACTTTTTTCGCTATTTGGTTCGTTATGGTGTCGAGTCTTGTACCAAAAAAAGGTAAAAAAACAAAAAACCGTTTTTTACATGTTCCATAACATTTATTAACGATCCTAGAGATCGTTTATAATTTTGCATTGCTATCTGTCGTCTGCCTGTTGGTCTGTCCGTCTGTTCCTTTGTCTGTCTGTCCATCTATCTGTCCGTGTGAACGATAACTTTGTTTAGAAATGTTCGATCGCTTTTACATCTCCGTTAGTTATGAACTGAATTGCATGAAATTCAATATGGGCATAGATTTAGCCATATAATACGCAACGCCAAAAGTTGAATCGAATCGATTCAAAATTCACAGTGCCCTTTTCGCATCTCGACCATTTATAAACCGAATTGCAAAATTTTTTACTTATAAAAGCATTTGAATGAAATTTGATACATAGGCACTTGGAATAAAGGAAAATCAACTGCCAATTTCAAAATTTGGTTTTGCGCATGCGCAGTGCCAACTTTTTGATTTATGGAAGAATTTAAATGAAATTTGATACATAGGCACTTGGAATAAAGGAAAATCTAGCGCCAGTTTCAAAATTTATTTTGCGCATGCGCAGTGCCAACTTTTTTATCTATGGAAGCATTTAAGTGAAATTTGATATTTAGGCGCTTGGAACAAAGGAAAATCTAACATTAGTTTCAAAATTTAGGTTTGCGCATGCGCAGTTCCAACTTTCTTATTTAGAAAAGCATTGAAATGAAATTCTTCTCATAAACTGACATTGAAGTAGCACAATAAAAATGGATTGCCCATGTGCAACGCTATCTTTCATATTTGTGGCCGGATTTTTACGATTTTATAGAAGTTGCATCTTACAAATGGGAAATGAATGCAAGTGGAAATGCGCTTTATGTAAGTCGTTTACGATTACTTTTTAACTTGTTTATACATGTAAAAGTATAACAGAAAGTCCGTCCCTCATGCTACGTAAGAACCATCTTTAGACCCGGAAACACAATGAAGCGGGACACGTATAAAAATGTAAATATTGACAAATTTGAACTCAAATCTTTCTAAGCATAAAGCAAGCACTTGTTACAAGACTGCAGATGCTTCATTCACGTGGTTCTCTAGTTTCCTCAGCTTCATAAGACGATTTCTATCGTTATAGGTTTCGGGGCTGCGGTTTTGGACACTGCATTCGGTTTGTTCTTCACTTTGCAAAAGGTAGTTCTTGTCCTATCTATAGTCATTGATTGGTTATTGATGTCGAAGGCTGTTGTTTAAGATATTGTATAGAGATATTCGCAATCTGTAACCTTAAAATTATCAACGAATTGTTTTTAAGTCGTACATTGGGTGCGTTTATCTAGCATATTTGTGGATATTTACAGGGGCGGACTAACCCGGGGGGGGGCGGGTGGCGGTTGCCACCTGGCCTGTAGATCAGAATGGCCCGTTGGAAATTTATAAGTATGTGCTGTATTTAGTTTCTTGCACTATTAATAAATTATTAACACGTTTCTCTAAGTGGGGTTGATATTAGGTTGTTAAAAAATTCTGTTTTAATTGAAGTGTTTTACAATGAATTTCATTTTTTGTCGTAGCATGAAAGTGCTGAAATACAATGATAGGCGACGCACCTCGTGTGGATTGTATATTTTGTTACTTTTAATTATCAGCTGCAATTTTAAAAAAAACTGTATGGTAATTTTCTATAAGAAAACTTTTTTTTCGGGTCGATCTGAGACAATTTTTTCTTCGGGGCTCAAAAAAAGGCAGTGTATTACCTTCCTTTTTTACCAAAAATCGACTACACCAAAATTTCTCGGGAAAACACTTTTTTTTATTAATTTGGGTGCGTAGAATCCAAATCAATTCGTACTTTTTCGATCAGACTTCTCAATCAAAAGTTATAGACTAGAAACCAATTTCCAAAAAAATTCAAAGGGCTGTAACTTTTGAACTAGTAGCCCAATCTTGGAACTGTTTGAAATTATGGATTCTACAGGCACCATTCTATAAGAAAATTTTTTTCTGGGTTGATCTGAGACAATTTTTTTTCGGGGCTCAAAATTATTAACACGTTTCTTTAATTGGGGTTGATGTTAGGTTGTTAAAAAATTCTGTTTTAATTGAAGTGTTTTACAATGAATTTATCATTTTTTGTCGTAGCATGAAAGTGCTGAAATACAATGATAGGCGACGCACCTCGTGTGGATTGTATATTTTGTTACTTTTAATTATCAGCTGAATTAAAAGAAAACTGTATGGTAATTGATTTTCGAGAAAGGAGTACTGTTTTTGTGGTGCACCTCAGAGCTACCCCCCCCCCCCCGCCACCTTCATTACTACACTAATACTTTAATGGCCCGTAACGTATGCAATTCCACCTGGTCCTTAAGTACCCAGTCCGCCCCTGGATATTTAGGTACACGAAGGGTATACAATCGGATTATTCTGTGCTAGTAATGCCCGAAATCGTTCATAATTCACAATCGGATTTTGATTACTCAGCAAAATAATCGATTAATGGATCGGTGAATCGACTACTTGACAACCAATCATTTGATTAAGAAAACAATAGATTAATTATTCGAGTATCAGTCTTAGACCATATAATACATGGACTGCTATTAGCCCTATGCTTTCAATACAAAATGGTTGGTCACGGACAGAGGGCATTGTAGTTGGGGGTATGTGAATCTCAGGGTAAACTAAAGTCGTATGAACACCTTTCGGTTCGCGTAAAGAGTAGCTTTTGTAGTATGGGAAGCTTTAAATACTCCTGAATCCTGATTATCTTCTATACGTCCACAAATACGAATAGGTTTGCTTTTTTTGCCATATCTGGGCAATTAATTAATTGACGTTTGTTAATTTATAGGTTGACAGCCTCAAATCGTGTCTCATCGGACAGACTCGTTTATCCTGAAACGTACATACCAGGCAATGTCCTTGGCCATATTTTAGTTACAATTAGCAATCCATGTACTCTATGGTCTAAGGTATCAGTCAGTTAATTAATCTAAGAATGTTCGGTAACTTATTTGTTATTGGTCGTTTGCGACGACAGTAATTTAATCTCAGTATAAATTATTTTTATGGCAAACGTCATCTCAGTAGAGAAGCACAAGCATTAACATACAAGTATTCACTACAGTCACACTGTGCTACAGTCTACTATATAATGCATTAATCAGTCTAATCACATAATCCATGTCATTGATGGTACCTACGTTAAATATTTCGCCAGCATAAAACGGATCAGTTTGACTATTCTTTCGACTTTAAACTGGATGCATAAAGTACCTACCTATAGCAGTTGCTGGCTACTTTATTCCCATTGCACAACATTACGAAAGCGTATACTCGCAATCGCAATGTGATTTGCGTACCTACCTAATACACTACTGGTTTAAAACGACACAATTATTAACCTAATGAACGAGCTAATAAAGAACTGAGAACCGAAAACCCACCGGTAATAGAATAGTAGTAATTACTGTAAGTACCATGTTAATGTAATGACCGCCGTATTTATTCCTTGTTACAGAAAACTGTAAGCGCTCCATTCTCCGAACTGCGTGTTATCGTCATAATGGTAGTCTTCTGCTTAATTTTGGCAGGAATGTGTCTCACATTTATCGTCAGTTGCATTAAGAAGCTAATAAGTGATCATCGCATCATCCAGGTAAGTGGCAACATCTTTGTTCGCATTTTTCCCATGAGAATAAGATTCTTTGGAGTGAATGCAAAAGACTTCATTAGTCAAGATTAAAATTAAACTCGAGCTCAAGTTTTTGTAGAGGGAATTTATAACCGTAAATGTAAGCTCGTTTAAATGATGGAATCATTTCTTTTGACAAATACAGAGATATTCTTTTAGGTACATTTTAACAAAGGAACCACTTTTCGATTATATATAACACACGGATAAGTACCTGGTTAGATCTAAATCAATTTCCATTATGCCATTTTCGAGGTAATGATCTTTGGGTTTTAATAATCATTTCCTATGGTTAGCGTAATTTTAAGGTTATACGTTAAACCTATAGTATACCAATATATGTAATCGTGTGGCGCAGTCTTAAATCTGGTATCTGCAAAATAAATCCTCTTGCGCCAGCAACGCACTATTACTATAAAATGATACATGCTGGAACCCGTTTTCCGTTCTTTTATACAACCCTTTGTGAGTACTCTCTCAAAATCAATTATAAAATTAACTTTTTTTTTCAATTCATTTGTAATTCTATACGATTTAGAACGAATAATTGAACATTTAATTAACTATACTAAATTAATTTAACAACTAATACCGTTTCCATTACAACATGTTTATAATTAATAGTGTGGTCAATTTATAACATTCATTGACGTGTAATATTTGTCCAATATATTTCAGGATATTCTTTGTTATACTCTTTTATCGCGCGTTACATTTACAACTTCCACTAAGTTATGGGCCCAGACGTCCGATAAATTAGTTGTTGGAAGTTTTGCGCGATTGAAGATCATTAAAGTAGTTAGAGCGCGTTCGGCTGAAGTCAAGCGATGTACTCGGCCTACCTATTACTTACGGTAAACGTCCCCAAAAAATGTTGTTACGAAGGAAACATAATTAGGAATACGGTATGAGTGGTATTTTGTACCTCAGCACAATGCAAACGTCATACATGATTTTTAAAAAGGTATATACAGTAGTCTACTTGACTAGTCTCCCTACTTTTCGACCCTGTTTCAAACCTTTGCACACTAAACAGTTGACGACACACCGCGACTAAATATTCACAGTGTAAGCGGTAAATCCTAAAGGAATATATTTATTTTTAATCAAAACGTATGCGAGACGTATGTAAAAGCCGGGAAACTAAATAATTTGGCGTTTTACGTGAAGTCGGTGTAGTGGATTTGGGTTTTCGATGTTGGCACCATAGATCCCCAGCCGCTATCTTGATCTCGATCCGATCAGTGTGTCAACAAGACGTGTGCAGGCCTTTATAAATATCGCTGGTTTTGGTGTTCTTTCTGAAAGACACCATGCCTTTTGTGAAGAAAAGTGCTCAGCAGAAGAAGGAAAAGATTGTCCTAGCTCAGCTATATACTAGACCTAGTGGAAAAGTCATCAGATTTAAACGCGTGCTGCATAGCGTGCCAGAGCAGACGCCGCTTCGGCGGTAAATATCTTCCTTATTTCATCATGAACATGTACTTTTCCGTGCATATTTAGATTCGTCACAAAATTTTCGCTTCTAATGAGACCCATCTCATTTAAGTCTTGATACAAAAACCTTCGCTAGCTCAGAAAAACTGAGTATGTCCATAAGAGCCCATGTTAAAATACCCTGTTTTTACTGTCAAATATCTCAGAAACGGCACATAGGAACACTTTTTTCTTTTGACCATTAGAAAGTGCGTCTCTCAGAGAATAAGTGACCAAATTTTCACCAACTTCTTGTTACTTTTACTTAGGCGCTCTAACTACTTTAAAACAGAATAACTGTCAAAAACGTAATGTGACGTACCTACTCTCGAACAGTCGATTTGTCTTAATCTCCTAGTCATATGGTTATTCGATTAGAAATCAACAAATGGCTCGCGCTAACATCCTTAATGCTACCAGAATCGAATTACTCAACAGAAGTAGGTAATTATATGTTACATGGAACATTCAAGTCGATGCGTTACTTGTGAAAGTAGATTTGTGTTCGGTATCCGTGAGAAACCAGAAGTTGAGTCAGGTACCGAAAACGCCGTTAATCGACAGTAACTACAAGACGCAGGGATCTTACAAGATCGCAAAGCGAGGTCAGAGCTCATACTATAATTTCACCTACGGAGCTAAAGCAAATATGGGGATGTGAAACTTAGAACGATGTATGGGTGAAATTACAAAGTATTTACGCATCAAAAGAACCAAACCCGAAAAGCAAGTTCATTTAAGCAATTCATTACTCAAAAAATATCCGATGAAAATGATGTGGGGGAACATTTTTCACGTTTCTTTGATATAGTTGCCAAACTCAACGCCATTAATGACTAGAAATCAATGACGATCTTCTCACAATTATTCGATTACATAGTCTTCAGGATAATTTTGATAATTTTAGATGTGTCATCGAGACGCATGACATACTGCGCGTCGCCTGACCCTGAATCATTGAAAATTAAAATAATTGATGGTAGCGATGGCAGGGAAAGAAAAACAGGGAAAACCGAGTCGTAAAACGCTGGTTTAAAACGTGTACACCATTACTCATACATAATGTTGTATTACTTACTATCACTCAGTATTACTCAAAACGTGTACACCAAAATACTCCACTCCCCTCGTGAAATACTGAGTCAAACGCAACAGAAAAATTACGATCAGATAACTACAATAAACAGAAACTGAACTGCAATATTGCGGTTATTGTAAGAGGAGAGGGTGACATGGAATCCAAAAAATGTTAATACTCCAGGCAAAAATAAACAAAATGCAAGTTACGTAGACGAACGTTTCTTTAATCGCAACTTTGGTGTTTGGATAGTGGTTGCAAATCACATTTTTGTAAGAACAAAGATGCACCTTAAAACCTTGAAAACATTGACAGCTCAATACGACTTACTAGTTCAGCAACTGCAGATGTTGTTGCGACAGGTCGTGTCAATCTCAAAATCAAATCCCAGGGTAGGTACAAGAACGTACACCTCAAAAATCCTTATTCCTGATTGATTTACGAACAAACTTGTTATCTGTAACGAAAGTTGTAGAGAAAGATCACGAAGTTATTTTCAGAAATCGACATGATTTAAAGGGCAACGTCAAAATGACAGCCAAACTTCGGGACGATTTATTTTACGTTTGTGCCAAATCAGTACCAAATATGTCGATGGTTTGTACACGTGAATAGGTAGTTCCGTAACCGACAACACGCAAAATAAAATCGAACTATGGCATAGAGGATTCGGACATCTTAATTTTCAAGATCTCGTTGACATTCCCTAGTTTCTTTATATCCTTCTGATCTTCCAGGTTAATCGTTTGTTTCTTCATATTCTTTTCAAATTTCTTCAGTTAAGATTTTTTTAAATGTGCCATTCCTTCAGATGCTTGATACTCTTTAGTCTTGGGTTCTTCAAAATTTAAAAATTTTCTAGTTTTTTTTAGATCTCAGTTTTTCTTCAGATTATTTAATTTCTTTATTATTCCGTTTTTTTAAGTCGTTAGATCCATTGGATCGTTCAGTTTTTTATGATTCTCCGAATTTCTCATGTTTTTAGATTCTTGAAACATTTTTAGATTTTTCGGAAGTATTTTTCTAACCTTTCAGTATTTTAAAATCCTTTGATTTTTTAAATTAACCAGAGGCATATTTCTTTAAATTCACAAGATGGTTCGAGTTCTTTCCGATTTCTCAGATTCTCAAATTCCTCAGATCCATCCGGGTTCCTTTGATTTGTCACACGCTTCAGATTCTTTTGATTGGATGATTCTATGGATCTTCAAGTAAAAGATTCATAAGATTCTTCAAATCTTTCGTATTATTAAAATTGTTCTGGTACTTTCGTTTCGTCGAGTTCATCTAGCTTTTCAGATTTCATGGCACGTTTGGATTTATTATTTGCAGTGAATTCCCTGTATTTTCTTGCGCTTGGATTCTTTCGTTTCTTCTAGGGCTTTGAATGTTTCTACTTCGTTTCTTCTGATTCTTTTAATTCTACAAACTGACCAGATTTTTCGATTTTCCTTTTTTTTCGGAATCGTCGGATTCATCAAATTTTTAGGATCCTTCCAGCTTTTAAATTTGTTCAGTCCCATCAAAAATTTCTATTATTCTTCCTACTTTTTCTAATTATTCCGATTCTTACAATTCGTAAAACACATGCTTTTAACCTTTCGAATACTTTGGACATTTCGGATTCTTCCGCTTATTACAGTTTTTCTGTTTGTTCAGATTCTTCGGATTGTTCGTTCTCTCTGAATTCTATCTCAGATTCTTCATATTATCACAATAAGAAATAACATAGGATTTTTCTCACCTATAAGCTTTCTAAGATTTGATTACTTTGACACATGGTTTGAATGCAAAATGGGAATAAGAGATAAAAATATTAATGAATGAATTTTGGATCATTTTGGCAAAGCTAAAAAATTAATGATGATTAATTTATAAAACGTTGATCTTAAAAAATGTGTCAGCTGCATTGGATCCGTGGAAAAATGTGTTAGCTGATCATGTAAACATGTCGGAAAATTCATGAAAATCGGAGCATTTTGGCAAACCTGAAAATGTTATATGTTAAGGTTTATCATTTATAATTTCAGCTGGTATTCTGATTTGGAAAAACCTGTTAGCTGAACTTTCAAACTGCGGCGTAGCGTTTATTTGCGTGGAACGTGCCGCGTGAGGCAGTTTCGTTACTTAGCCAGTAGGCTGCTGTTTATGTATTTTTAGCGCATTTTTTAAGAATTAAAAAAAATGTGCTATTGTTTGCGTTTTGTCCGTCCGTCTGTCCATTCGTTCGGGCCCACTTCAGCCGTTTCGAACTACTTCTAGGGGAATGGTCCTAGAGTTCTGGAATGTTTGCAGTAGGTAGCCTATACCTTGCAGGTGTGCCAGACGGCCATCAAATTTCGCTGCCCACGAATTATTTTATTGAGATGCTGTTTTTGAAAGTAAAACGTACTACATTACTTTTACATACGACAACCAATTTTTATTACAATTATCATAATGTACTTATAATTTTTTTTGCATAAATGGAGAGGTAGATTGCGTCCTCTCATTCTTTTTTGCAAACAAATTACACATAATGTATTTGCATTTTCATATTCATCTTCGAGATCATTATCACAATTTATTATTTCACTATTGCGACGAACTTTGGCTGCTCGCGAATAGCTGGTGCTGAAGGAATTAAAACCCAATTAGTAGAGTTATTGTTCAAGTGTAATTTAATTAAAGATATTAATACAAAGTATCTTGTAATTCCTCAAGCGGTAGTCGGCGACAAAACGGCAAAACGGCGATACAGGGAACGGACGGAAGAACGGACTCGGGCGCCACCAGACGATAATCTCGCGCCTGGACGATGTCGGCGGTAATTACGGACGGACGGGTAGGTTTCGGTAGCCTCGGAAGTAGTCTTAATCGGAGATGATAATTCCAGGTGTTCGGCGGTCAGGTTCAGTAAATGCGGCCGTAATGTCTGGAACGCTAATAGTTATTTATGTATTAAGGGCATAATACTGATGTTTATATTCTCGAGGGCGACGAGTTAAAAAGCTCGAGGGCCTATGGCCCGAGAGCTTTTTAGTCGCCCGAGAGTATAAACATCAGTTTATGCGCGTGGTACATACACAATTTTATGTTTTACAAATAGTTTTCTTCGTTAAAATTCGTTTACAAAATAATTCATTATGTTTGATCGAGTATGCGTGGTTCGAATTTGTTAATGTGATTGAAACCATGCAAACGTCAAACGTAATTTTAAATAATTCAATTCATCATGAATGAGCAAGAAGTTCCAGAAACTATACGAAATAAGGCCAATCTTGTGATTTAGTAGGTATTGACAATTAATAATTGACGTTTCTAATTTTCAATGACCTGCAAATATTTGTTTGTTTTGTCATTAAGTATAAATGAGTTACTATGGTGATACTTAATGCCCTAGGGCATAAAGTGGTACTTTATGCCCGCGTATCACAGATATAAAATGTGCTATGATAGGTTAGTAAGACATAAAACAAAATAGGGCCTACCGGCAAATTCCCTAGCGGAAGAAAGGTAATTAGGTAAATTCGGGAAAACGGATAAACACAATAACACAATTCCCCCCTATACATATATATAATCACTAAAACGGCTTCGGCTTTGGAAATTTATAAAGAGGGACGCAAAAAATAAAGATCGCTTACGGTCAGTGAAACGTAAAAGATGCAAAGATCCAAAAAATATTACGGACTTACTTACGGCAAGTAGAACGCAAAAAGATCCTTCCAAAATTGAGCGTTTCGCTGATAAAGGAAACCCAATTTGGTAGAAGTAGAAGGAAACTCCAAACCGTAGCGTATTCAATACGAAATCGAAACCAATCAATTTCATTTTTAATTAATTATTCGGCTCCTGTTCGTCCTAAAAATTCACGAACAGCTGGGAATCGATTCCTTATTTAAGCGCGCAAAGATTGATACCACAATGGTCTCAATCGGCGCTCCTTTACTGTAATTCATTTAATTAGTGCATGCTAATTATACATACTCAAAAGACACAACGGAAGCTCATGAACTCATTACAATAATTCACTGTAGGTATGTTAATTGAAAGTTTTCGGACTCGGAGCAGGTGGCGGTTATCTAATTTTTGCAGGCACGACGCTAGCTGATAGCGGACAAAACAACTCGCTTCGGAACTTGTTCTATCCTTGCTTTTACTTATTATGGGGAACTCAAACAGCTTATAAACAATAAATTAACGGTGCTGAAACCAAAACATATTAATTGTTCTTCATCTTCTCCAGAACAAGACCCTTCAGTGGTTACAAAAATAATTCGAAAATTCCAACATCAACGGGTGTAGGCGAACTAATTAATTACGGTATCTCCTTGTCTCCATGGCATCGCGGAAACTTCTCAAAATTACGGTTTTCTACGTAACGAAGCTCAAACAAATCGTTACTATACAGGGTGGTCCTTGTAAACGGCAAAATCCACTCAGAAACTCCGGATGCTTCGTTACACTAACGTCTTGTGATTTAACTCCTTCTTCATTCTCGATATCTTCATTCGCTTGAATATTTTAGTTTTGACTTGAACTAAAAAGCACAAAGATAAAATTTAAAACAATTCAATTTCTTTCAGTTTCAAGAAAAACGAATTAAGTATATATTTACGAAAAATTGCGCAAACGCATAGAAGGACTCCGAATTTCTAAATGCGGTTTTCACAAGCTTAATTTATGGTAATAATAAAATAAATTACCTTGGTATACTTGAAGTTGATGGTTCGGAAGGTTTACAGATAGTCTGTATCTTGGAGGTAAAGCTGTGGACACGCTGGTAGCATAGCCAATGATACATGTAACTCATTTATTGTCTTTGGTAACACTACATTATTCAATGATAAACAGTTCTTTTTAGCGTATTTTCCTCAAAGTGAAAAATCGCTATTGGCTGCACTTTGACATCCGTCCGCCCGTCCGTCACACGTACTCGATTTTGGCGATAATTAACGATATTTTCAAAATATTATTTTGCGCATGCGCAATGCCAACTTCCTTATTTACTGAAGTATTTAAACTAAATTTACTACATAGGCACTTGGAATACAAGCAAATCTAACACCAGTGTTAACATTTGGTTTTGCGCATGGTAACTTTCTTATTTATGAAAGCAGACTTCGGCGATAGGCGGCTCATTTGAAAGAGAATAGGATAAGGATCTCGTGCCTACCGGTATTTTTTCCTAGCATTAGTATTATTAGGAGGAAAATACGCTCTCGTCATTCTTGTTTCCATAATGACTTTTTAAACTTGTTTCGAATTTCTAGCACACCCCTACACTTGCTTAACGTGGCGTTTGTGAGCGGCGTCAGCGGTTGCATGTGTTTCGAGCAGATAATGCAATAGGGCTTCGTCATTTCTGTAATTTCTATTTACATAATGCCAACAAAATGATTCTGTTAACTGAATCTTCCCCTAATCATCAATTGAAAAATTTAATGTAGGTACAAATTATGACAGTTTTAGGAATTCCAGTACTTAAACAGCAGCCTACTAGCTAAGTAACGAAACTGCCGCACGTTGAGCGCACCTGGTAAGCGCTCATTGAACCGAGCGCAACGAGTCGCACTCACCGCACGAATCGCATGTTTTAAGAGGTAAGCGCCCACTGATTCATGCCGAACGAACCGCATCAATCGCAGGAGCCGCATTTTGCTGATATAATAAATATATACGTCACCGGTTTTCAGTTTCGCACGACAAGAGTCGTACCACTAGACATTTGGCGTCCGTTGCGTGCAGGTTCCTTAGTATTTTTTTGAAAAATAAGCGACAGTGAAGAAGACGTCATCATTGTTGGCAGTTTATTAGCAGAAGAAGAAAATGTAAAAACGAAACGAAGCGTATGGGTACATAATATATGCAAGAAACAACCAAGGTTTGGTGAATTTAACTCGTTATTTCCCGATCTACTTGAAGATGAAGTGAAGTTCTTCCAGCCTGCGCGCTCACTACCCGGAATCCCGTCGTACGTCATCAACTCGCATCGTACGCGCCGAAGATATATTCTTTTCAAAAAATCTAGCCGCATTTACGGCAGTACGAGTCGTGCGACTCGAACTAGTCAAGTGCACTTTCGCTTAAACCAATGCAAAGAATATTTTCCTGCGATTCGTGCGGTGAGTGCGACTCGTTCGGCTCGGCTCAATGAGCGCTTACCTCACTACGCCGCCCGCGCCGTACTTTGAAAGTGCAGCTAACAGGTTTTTCCAAATCACAATACCAGCTATGGAAGATACAAACGTTGTTTTGCTATATGGAAAATATCACAATTGGATACTATTTCCTTTTCTTCCAAGATTTTTCCATTTGAGTACCGAAATGAGATTACGAGTTGCGGAATCTGAGAGTAACTATATTAATATGCTTTTTGAATAGAACGTGCTAGAAAGGTCTTTTCAAAGAGTAGATTCCTCGAGCATCTTTCCACAGAAAACTTCCCTTACAAGAATCCTTGTCTGTCTCGTAAAACCCACAAAAACTCTACTGAGGGATTGAAATACTTGCGGCACTGACGCCTGAAATAAACTCGGAACAACACATTTTCAATACCTGGTACTCTCGTCTATCAAGGCTGCTAATTATGTATGATCGGAATTTCGCAATAGAGTATTTAGCCTGAGCACGGGTTTATTTTATATATACCTATATAATAGAAATTATGTAAGCTTGCTGTGCAATACAGCTGCAAGGATGAAGGAATGCATTATCCTGAAATAATAAGCGTTAGGTAATAGACGTGGTATGAATGGCTAAGACTTAATCCGATTCTAGTGCTTATCTTTCATAGGACAGTAGGCACTATACAACGGAAATACCAAGTCTACTAGTGATTGAAGGGGAAATTAACGGTGATAGTAAATTATTTACTTTACTGATAATGAACTCTGCACATTTGGCTCACATTAACAAAATATAAAGGAATTAATTTTATTTCAGGAACACATTCGTCAAAGCAGAGAGCAACAATTGGACGAGCTCGGAAAGCAAGAGGAGATGGAAAAGAAACACTCAAAAATCGGATCTCATTCGGATAGTACACATTCGTCGGATTCCCAACGCTTTACTAGCGCAAATGCCATAATGGCTGACACCTCCTGCTACGTACCAGGCGGTGATATATTGCCAATATTAATTCGTAGTGAACACGGTGTTAGCCCAAACGGTGATATTTATTCACAAAACGGAGACGAGATGCAATTAGAAATGTGCGACAGCGCGTGTCAAACGAGGGAGAGTTTGTTCTTTCCTCACGACTATAATTCAGAACATAGTTCACCCGTTCACAGCATAACTTCACATTCAAAGCCGAGCCCCCCAGCGCCGTTTAGTACGTTCGGTTATAAAAAGGAGAACAAATATCGCGCCGAGGCGAGAATAGAAATGGAACGAGTTGAGCCTAAACCTCACGTGGACGATAAAAGACGTCCCTATAGTGTTCAAACGACGAAATCCGCACCAGACGTCATAGTGACCCACTGACATATGCCTTGCGCCGAGTGGGAGCCGTATAAAAGGAGACACCCCCGGCATGATATGAAGAACTCTCCTAAAATGATCGAAGTAATAGAAAGTCTTATAAAAAATGCCGAAACACAGACACACGATTGGGATTTCTATAACACGTGATATATAGTTAACCTGCATTTTTCTATAAACTAGATATTTTATAAATTTTCACACAAAAGACAATCCCCCAATTTCCCTTTTATCCCTTATCCTTTTTGTTTAACTCGATTATTGATTTTCGCTAGGTAGTTAATAAATGAATATGTACCAAACTGCCTGTGATTGATTCTGTGGACTAAACAGGCGAAAATAGCTAACTTATCAAACTATCAAACTGTGTATGAGGAAAAAACTAAAACCTTCACATAGAATAACTGCCGTTTTTTATTGAAATTGTGTATATATGTATTAAATAAATTTCATTACCATTGTTTTTGCTTTCTGCTTTTAATTAACAGCATTTTCAAGCGAGCAGCAACGTGGAGAAGTAAAGGTGACGCGCCAACAAAGGTAGGTAGGTACCTATTCATTTATCGATTTATAAACTAATTAAAAAGCACACCTGTTGTGAAGAAAGTGTTTGATAGAAAAAGGCCCGGTGGAAAACTGTTTATATGCATTTATCATAATATAAAACAAGGAGAAACCTTGGAACATGATGTGCTCGAAATTTAATACAATTCTACTCGTAGTATTGGTCCGTACATCTGCTGTGCCATTTGATACTACCATACGTTTATTTATCTTCGTATCACTATTTTTCAAAAGGAATGGTCAGTACAATTTTTTTCCGCAAAGGGTATGGGCATACACACTCAATTTAAACGTATTGTTATTAAAACTTGACTTGACGTTTAGAAATGCTCTGAGGTGAATGTGATTTCTGCCCAGTGCTCTGAATGTCAAAGTGAAGAGATTCAAAAAAACGCGTGTAAACTTTGGCAGGCTTCTCGATTCCAGGTAATCTGGTGAAAGGGCGATCTCCACTGTCGACACGGGAGTAGAGTTTCGAGAAATCGAGCTCGACCCCCCCCAGACCACCGGTCGGCGTGAGTAACTATGAGTCTCTGAACAAGATTCTCAACTAAATAAAATATTAAAAATTTTAGGAAACACTAGATTAATAATAAGTATGGATTCAAATTCAAAATCCACTATGTGATTTAACAATATTACAGATAAAAAAGGAAAAGAAAAAAAATAGAACAATTCATAGCAGAAAATAATTTAATAATATCAAATAAACCTAACAATCCACATACTTACATAGGAAACGGATTAACTAATATTGATTTAACTTTAATGAGTAATAATTTAATGGATAGAATATTTAATGAAAAAATAAAAATAGAAAATATAAACGATATCGAAGAAAATATTCTAAAATAACAAATAATATTCAAAACATATGTAATGAATCGATTTCTAAGCACCATAAATGTGATAAGTAAACTGTGATCAAATGTCTGTAATATGGCCCTTATCTCCTTATCATTTAAAAGACTTTGTAACTAAACATGGAAATGGGGTGCAATTTATAAATTAAATAAAAATAAAAAAGAAAATATACCTTCCACAATTAGATATGAAAAATGGCAACTACATGGATAGAAACAGCAGAAAAATTAGTAACAAAATTAATAACAGATGATGATTTAATTGAAACAACCGAATTACAAAAAGATAAAAAAAATTTTTGTAAACTGAAATTCAAAATTGTGATAATTTCGAAAAATTTAATCATAGTGAAATTTCTAATGCAGTATATAAACAAAAAGATAAAAAAGCTCCTGGTCCTGACTTAATAAACAACGAAATTATAAAAAAAGTATATCCTTTTATAAGGAAAAAATTAAAAATGTTATATAATTCCTGTTTAAAATTTGGATATTTTCCAATGTGTTGATTTAATAATTATTAAAAAATCAGGTGAAGGAAAAGATCCTTTAAACATAAAAAGTTATAGACCAATAGTGCTACTGTGCTGTTTAGGAAAAATATTAGAAAAATTATTAAATGATAGATTAAATTATTATTTGGAAAAGAACAAAATTTTATCAAATAAAGTGTTTGGTTTCAGAAAAGGAAGATCGACGGAAGATGCAATTTTAGAATTATTTAAAAACGTTGAAAATTCACAAAAAAATATATGTTTTAGGAATTTCAATAGATATAGTTGGTGCGGTCGACAATGTATGGTGGCCGGCTATTTTCTATGAATTGGAGAAAATTAAATGTGGTAGGTATATCAGTACAAAGAATTATTAAGTTATTTAACAGATAGAATTACAATATATAGCAACAAATATCAAAAAATAACAAAAGAAATTAGCAAAGGTTGTCCACAAGGATCGGTGTTGGGACCTACTTTTTGGAACATAACTTTTAATAATAGTTTTCAAAATAACATGTAGGAAATCGCATATGCAGATGACAACATTTTTATAATAGAAGAAAATTCAAGAAAAAAATTAGAAACTACCGGAAATGAAATAAAAAATTTTGAAAATTGGTATACTGAAAATAAATTAACAATATCACACGAAAAAACAGAAATGATACTTTTTAAAGGACATTTGAGGATTATTTAATTTCAATTTATACGACTTTTAATTTACTTTTCGCGAGTGTATTAAATCAGTTCAGTGATGACATTGATGGCTAAAAGGTGTTTTTCTATTTCGGTGTTACAATGAGAATTTTGTGCAACTGTTTTCGGCAAAAACAGTGTTTCAATGAGTTCCATTGTAACATTGTTTTTGGTTACTTTTCATCTCTAAGTTGGCAGTTCGCCAAGACGTCAACGTCAAATCATCAGATGTGAAATCAAATTACGTACGTAAAATGTATGTGTTTTCCTTGATTTTTGGTACACGAAGAACTTAATACATTCCAAATCAGCAGTTTACACATCCACCATAAATAAATGTATCTACGAATAAAAAATTACACATTCACGGAATTTAAAGTTTCCAAATGTCAGTGTTGTGTTTATCTACGCTGCCAACTTAAAATTTGTCAACGTAAATGGTGTTACCAACTTAAGACATATTAATTCTAAAGTTTCCTGTAGTTTTTCATAATTATTTTTTAATTAAATTAAAGCCCCGAAATAGAAAAAATAGTATGAAAAACACGTGTTACAATGCTTTATTGTACTACTCCTACCAATAGGTCGCATTGTAACACTTATCTTTCAATATACTATTTTAACGCCACCAAATTTTCAAACTTTTGTTGACAGTTGTCAAAAATAATTTATTTTCAAGTTGCTGTTCAATTTAAAACATTGTGAATTATAAGACTGTTTTCCTAGCGATAGCTATTACAAGACTGTGTTGAAATTTAAACGTCATGAACAATTTGAAACGCCTCAAAAAACAGCACGTCCAGAGGATTGTTACCTTCGTGGGAGTGTTTGTAAGGTAGGATTTTCATTTTAATTAATACTTTTCAAAAATGAATAACATTAACGAAACCAAAGACAATATAAACATTAAATTGACGAGTGAAAATGAAGCCGCGGATTCGGTTTTTTCATCTTGTAGTGAAATGGACATAAGTATACAAAAACAAAACCGTAAAAGGAAAATATTAGAAGACGATGATATAAGAAGATGATATTAAGTCTGACCTAGACAAGGAACAAATAATAGAAGCAATAATTAGACAAAACTTAACAGAGGGCGAAGACAACATCAGAGAAATAATAGATAACGAGCAAATAAAACTAAATTTTAAAACGAGACCTAAAGACAACAATGTACTAAATGGTATATTCGTATCTCAAATATACCCTTCAGACCCGATGAACATAAAATGCCAATCCACATTAAATGTTGTACGCGATCAAGGGAAGTCAATTAAATTTGTATGGGTCCCCAGTCATGTTGGCATTCCAGGAAATGAGCAGGCAGATCAAGCTGCATACCAAGCTACATTTAATGAGCAAATTGATGTCGAATTTGTGGTGGCAAGTGATATCACGAAATATCTGAAAGAGAGGTACACTATGGAATGGCAGGAAAAATGGGCACGCACCAATACACATCTTTCCCAAATAAAACCCGCAGTAAAGGATTTATTTACATTGCAACATCCATCAAGGGAGGAGAATGTAAAGATGCACCGCTTGAGGATAGGGCCGCACACCAAAATAACTCACCATCTACTTAAAGGTAGACCTCCTCGGTACTGTAACCACTGCCACATAGCCCATACAGTGATGCACATAATAAATGATTGCCCACTATATGCCGTTGAACGCGTACGTCATAACATTATGCCAAACTACGTTACAAACTTCAACTCACAAAACGCAAATAATACCCTCGCTTTCTTAAAAGGAATTGGTATATATATTATTATTATTATTATTATTATTATTATTATTATTATTATTATTATTATATTATTATTATTATTATTATTATATTTAGATGATAATAGCATGAGGCAAGCCTATTTATGCTATTAATTAGGAATTAGACCGTGCTTTAGCACATAACCTAAAATCGCTTTAACTAAAAGCTTTTCCATAAGTTTACACACTATCGACGTTAAACTGATTGGCCGGTAGTTAGCCGGATTGCATTTGTCTCCTTTTTTATAAATCGGCGTTACAATAGCTTGTAGCCATTGGGCTGGAAGTACTCCAGCGTTCAATGAGTTATTGAACATTGCCAGTATAGGATCGGCGATATTTATCGCACAACACTTAACAATTTTGGAGAAGACTCCGTCCGCACCGGGAGCCGTGTTATTACTTAGCTTATTGATTTCAGAGAGTAAATCATTTCTAGAGAATATGACTATCGACAGCGTCTCACGAGGAACAGTTGTTAACACGGGTAGGTTCACATGAGCAGAGCGGTTAAAAGCTAACGAAAAAGTCTTGGCTAGAACATTTGCAGTCTCTATATTATCATGGCACAAGTCACCATTATCGTTAAAAACAACAGGAACTGAAACCTTTGAACTTGAATGCTTTCTGACGTAGTTATAAAAAGCTTTTGGTTTCGAAGCAAGCTTATCCTCAAATTTGGA